CTACAATTCCCAGAATGCTGGGCATGCTTGTTGCAGGATTCTGGGAGTGGTAGCCCAAACATTTACCCACCATCTCTGGTTAAAGAGCACAAAAGATCTACTCCCTTTTTTGGCTCGGGAGCTCCGGTGGGCTCTGCGCCTGTGCAGCCATGCATGAAGCTCTCTCTGAGACCGCATGCCTGCCCCCGTGGGCCCACGCATGCTCAGTGAAGCATGCCCTCCTGCAGGGCAACACGCGTAACCTCAAGAGCAGCCTTCAAACCATGAGTAGCCTCAACGACCTCCTCTCCTCCTCCTCTCTCGCTCTCCCCAGGGTCCCCTACAAGCCCCCTGTAACAAAGGGACATTGCTCGCTCCGTGGATTCACCTCGGTTGACAAATGTCCTGCAATGCCAGCCATGCTATTACGTGAACAGATTGCAGGAATAAAATATTAAACTTCCACTTATCCATCTTTTTAATGTGCGGCAACTCTAATGGCTGCTTTCAGCCTTTGCTCGGAGCGAAGCATCCGGGTGGAGATTGAGTCAACCAAGCGTATGCCAGCGCGGGGCCGCCTGATCATCACTGGGGTGGAAAAGCATCCTCGTGTATATATATATATGTGTGTCTGTAGAGTCTGGAAGTAATCTGTTACAAGTAACATAGTTATCTGCAACCAGTTACTTGTTCCGTGTAGTGCTGGTGTGATTCTATGCCATCACGTCATTCCCCATTTATGACCATTCTACGAGGCCCTGTACCCATAGCCCTGCTGAGGTCTTGCAATGGCCTCCTTTACTGAGTCAACATGTCTCATATCTGATCTTCCTCTTTTCCTACTGCCTTTGATTTCCAATGAATCTTGTTTCTCCTGGTAGATCCAAAGTATGACCATCTCAATGTAGGGGTCTCGGTAGAACAGAGTAACAGCACTCGAGGGATGCAACTAAGTTGTTTACATCACACCTCAACATTAGTAGTCGAGGGGAAACACTCACAGCTTGTTTCTCCTGGTAGATCCAAAGTATGATCATCTCAATGTAGGGGGCTCGGTAGAACAGAGTAACAGCACTCCAGGGATGCACCTAAGTTGTTTACATCACACCTCAACACTAGTAGACAAGGGGAAACAAACATGCGAGGTTTTGTTTGAGAAACTTGAAATATCCATGGAAAACACTCACACTCCTTTTCTTGTTCTGTCTGTCTGTCCACTCTGATCACGCACAGGCTGTTGAACATTTCAGAACCCTCCCTAAGCTGTTTGACTAGAGCGCAATGAGCATGGAACCAGTTCACACACAAACACAAGGCTGGCTCTACCCTCTTACCTTATGGCTGTCTGGAGAACAAGGATCTGCACACTGCTTCTGTGACCTGGAGTGGGCTAGCTGGCTGCCCGGCCATCCAGGCTGCATCGGCGTCAACCTGGCCTTCAGGGAAATTCTGTGCTCTGCGCATGGCCAGCACATTGCTTGAGAGCCCCACACAAATCTACCTGTAACAACCTGGCAAAGCTGGCAGAACCGGCTGCGTTGCCAGCCTAATCGGCCCTTAGGGAATGCCAGATAAACCTATTCTGAAGCCCTGAATAATTAGCAAGGATTCTTACTTTGCATATCCCAGCCTAATGAAGCAGCTGCTAATCCTCTTGAACTCGCCAACCTTTGGCTGATGCTCCTGGCCCATTCGTCCCACTCTCTTTGGCCACGTGGGCCTCCTCCACTATCGCCAAGCCATCAAGACAGAGACGAGCGGTTTGCCTTCTGGTTCAGTATATACTTATTCTTATTAGGCCCAGTCAATCCAAATTATAAAAACACTGATGGGTACTATAGAACAGATACAAATTTTAACCAAAAAACTTAAATATCAGTGCAGTACGTATGCTGTTCCTAATTTTGCCATGTTTTGGGTAGCTCTAATGGTGTTATCTGTGAGATCTGCAACTGTTTATAATACTGTGTGAAATTTCTTGATATTCTTCCCAAAGCCCAGATGACTACAGGGACCACTGAAGTGTGTTTCATCCACAAACGAGATGGTTCGAACTCCAGGTCTCTGTACTTTGTTCTTCTTATTCTTGTTGTTGCTAGCTTGCCGATAATTGATTAGAACCACGAACCAATCAAAGTACCTTTTGACTGATGCGTCGTCTGCCTTTCCAGCTTAAGCATCCGTTAACTTCAATTGTACATTTTTTTTTAAAAAAAAGACTACATATCGTCCAAAAACTCAACAGCAAGAAAGAAGCTGAAAAGGAGCATAAGAGAACGGATGGTTTCAAGTAGGAAAGCAGACTCGGGAAAATCTGTTCTGAACAAATTTTGTCTTTTATTCTGGGTGACAGGAAATGCTGGGACTCAAAGCAGGCTCAGAGTTTTAAAAAAAGAAAAGAAAAAAGATGAGCCTTAACATGGAACCCATTGATTAAAATGGTCTGAAGCACCAGTTGGCCCCACTGCGTAAGCAAACTCATTGAAGAGATGCCCTACTGAAAACAACTGAGACTCTCTCCCTCCACGACCAGAGGATGATTCCTCCACTGATCTCCTTATCTTTCAGAGCTTTGCCTCACCCTCATTAAAAATTATGAATGATCTTGTCTACAGGTGCAGCAGAATGAGGCACGAAAGAGGTGGGAAAAGTTTTAATGTGCCAAAATGAATGGAGCCACTTCAGAATTGCAAAGGGCAGGTCACACTCTGCAAAATTGCTTGCACAGGAAGGAAGGCAGGCAGGCAGGGAGGAAGGAAGGAAGGAAGCTTGCATGTAGAAAACTATCCCTACGGCCACCCCATTGTGTCTCTCATTATGGTCAAAGAGCCAGAAAGCCAGGATTGCCACCAGCCCTGCTGGACAATGACCTTCTCCAAGTTCCTTCCTCTTCCAATGGTTGCCAACCAGCAGCTGTCACATCAGCCACTGAAGAATATCCGTAGTCCACTGAGGATTGCAGTGGCAGGATATATCATTCGGCTTTCACTCCCCTGAATCGCTGCCTTGGTGGAGGAGGCTGTGTTAGAGAACCTCCAGCTGGCCATAGAGAAGGCCTCCTTAAAGAGCCTTCAGCTTCCAAGTTTGGGGATGATGGATCCGGGACTTGATATGAGCACCCAGAACGTTAGCAGCCAGCCTCTGGTGTGGAAGTTGATCCATCAAGGAAGAGTGTTACTAGTTGTGTTGCCTCTATGGGTTCCGGCATTTGGCAGAAGATCTGATGTTCCCACCAGTTGACCTCAGAGATTACCTAAAGGTTGCCTGTGGTTGTGTTTTCAGGTCTTTTATATTTTTGCATAGCACTCTGAGGGTGGTGTTGCTGGAAAGGCACGTTAAGAACCTTTGTTCCTAGTTGGAAACCAACACGGAACTGTTGAAAGCAACTGGCCTTGGCTCTTGTAGCGTTCCAGGTCGAAACCTTCTGCCAGCCCTACCTGGATGTGTCCTGAGACCTTCTGCATGCATAGCACCTGTGCTACCACGGACCTAGACCTTTCCACCACCTTGAGGAGCAGTAAATGCCATCGGTTAACACCACAGCATGTGAAGGATTTCCTTGATCTTTTCTAAAAACACATTACTGTTGAGTAAACTGACCTCCTTATTTTCTGGAAGAAGTCCAGGTGGCCTACCTGGATGATCTGACCATCTGTCCTAGTCTCACAATGACCGTGTGAAGTCATTTCAAACTGAGAGACAGCACGATCCAAGGTTGCACAGAGAACTTTATGTCCCCGGACCCCATAAACCCTATGGGAAGGTCGCTCTCCTTAATCCAGGAATCAGCAGAGGACTCCCTGTAGCGTGTGTAAGAGACAGCCTTGGCTGTTCAGCCACGCTGGAGGTGAAGAGAGCTCAAATCAGAAATATCTTCCTGGATGCTTTGTGTTTATTCATTCATTTATTTATTTTTTACCCTTTCTAGAAAGAGCTAGAAACCAGAACCATTAGAAAAAGACGGAAACCCACAACAATCTGCAGCTCTTTGATCTGTTTTACGGACACCAGAAACCTGTAGCTCAAGTTGCAAGGGGTGATTTTGTATCAAATGACCATGTCCACCGTTTGTTTTTCCATCTCTGCAGTCCTTGGGCCTGTGCAAAACTCTCCTCTCCCTTCTTTTCCGACATGGCCCTTCCCTCTTCCCTCCTTCCCCCTGGAAACATGTCATCCTCCCCTCATCTCCCTGGAAATCCCCCCTCCTAGCTTTTCTTAACCTGCTTGCCCCATCAGCGCCTAAACTCAGATCTTGTGTTCTAACCAAGACACCACACCGTTTGCCCTGAGTCTTTAACAACTGAAAGCCAGAGTGGCTTTTTTCCCAACTACATTGCCCAAAATCGCCACTGTCCTAAAGTCATGCTTTCAAATTCTGGGACAACAGCAAAGCAGAAGGCAGGGATGTGTGTATGCACGGGATGACAATTTTTCTCAGAATGAAGACTTAAAAAAAATAAAAATAAAACTCCAACCGAAACAAACCACAGACCTAACAACTGCAAGCCAAATTTATGAAAAACAAACAGCAGTCTTTATGGCAGGTAACCTCTGTTCTGAAGGCTTCTGAGGCATACTGTTAGCTCAATGGGGCATCTACGTTTTGCTCTGCCCTTGTGCAACACCCTTGAGCATCTCTCTCTGCCTCTCTCCCTCCCTCTCTCTCCCCCTTATTTAACTTCTGTCGAAGGACCCCAGCTGGCATTAATGCTTTCATTCCTTTGAACCAGACGTGGAAAAGAAAACAAGGGAAGACAAGATGAATCAAAGATCTGCAAACAAAAGGCAAAAAAGCACAAGAGAGAAGAGGAAACGGGGAACACAGCCCAGCTAGCACAGGTCCTTGACGGGAGACACCCACCCCGCCTTTGAAAGTGCCAGAGGATCCGAGACTGATTTCTCCCCAAGAGAAAGAGGAAGCATTTTGAAATGCAAGAGCAAGACAGGGAAAAAATGTGTGCGGCTTAACAAAGGCCCTTGGCCACAACCTACACCCAACTGCCTTCGGAGAAGGTTCCTACCTGTGACATTGACTTCCACGAGGCCCGACCGTGTGCCGATGGTGTTCGTAGCCTCGCAGACGTACGTCCCGGCCAGGTTGTAAGTAATTGGTCCCTTGAAGAACAAGGTGCTGTTCTGAACCTCCACGTTGTCCGGAAGAGAGCCGTTCATTCTGTCACAAGAGAAGGAGGACTGGTTAGTGAGAAAATTCGCCGGGGGCAGCCAACGAACAACGAATGGCTGTTGAATTCTGCAAGCTGAACAAATTACACGAATCAAGAAGCTTGCACTGAAGTGTGCGGTTGTGAAAGACGGAAGCAAGGCACCAGATCACAGTGTTTCAGAACCGAAGCCCTTGCCACCAGAAAACCCAGGTAACTCTTCAGAATTCCAACTTTTGAGATGGGTTCCACTCTTTCACACCCATGTATATTCTAAATATTAGGGGTGAGAAACTTGGTTCTATCAAAACATGGCAGCCAAGTAATGGTTTTGTAGATTTTAAAAGCAGCTTTCCATTTGCCTGACCTCCATGGTATGCGCTCGTCAATAATCTTGCCCCATTTTTGGGATTTTGATGCTTTCTCAACCTAGCGAAAGCTTAGGTTTTAGTCCTCTAACATTGTCCCAGAATCAAATAGGCATAAAACAGAAGGGGCTCAGAGAGGAATCAATCTCAGAAGCATTTTGAAAAGTCAAGAAATCCACAAGTGTCAACATTAGCACATATACCCAGCAGAAGGATCACACAGTTAACGGTCAAGGCAAAGTAAAACAACTATCTTAGTTAAAACAATTGCCCAGCCTATAATTCATTGAAGGAGCGCCTGTAAGATCTTGGGTTCAAGAAATGCCAGTGAAAGAGCGAGGAAGCAGGAAAAGCAGAAAGACTCTTCCCTGCCTGAGACAGTGGGCATATGTCGCCGAGCATAAGGCATAATTAAAAAGTGCATTTTCTTTTCCCCTTTAAAAAAAAGGATCCTACATAAAGCCACTTGCAGTAAATAAGGGTGTGTATGAGTTCTAATTTTGTTAGTTTCTTATTAACATGCATAGAATTAGTTACTAATATGAGCAAGCCATTGGGGATAAGTATTTATAGCTGCAGCCGGGCCACATCAGCGCCATCAATCCAGGGGAAAATTTGCTAGAAAAGAGGAAAAGGTTCTCCAGAGCAGGAGGAGACTAAATCTGAATGCTAAAAGGGAGATTAGGGCCAACACCAGTCTTGCAGATACGCCAGTTAAGTCACCAGTCCTCAGGAAATGAAACGGCCTGCTCACCTAGCCACATCTACTGTAGACAATGGGATCCTGAAAGAAAGAAGAAAAGGGAGACTTTTCGTAAAGACCTTTGACCTGTTGTCTTGGCTACTGTTAATAAGCTACTGCGTTGTTCCTGCTGTTGTCACGCGTCACCAGCAAGCGAGACGGTCTGCGCTTCTTGGCCACAAAAACTCTGCCTCCCCACTTCTTGGCATCTCCTTCCTCCACCAGACATGGCCCTCTACAGGGCAAGACATTTTCAAATATATCAAAGAAGGCGAAGGACATTCCTCACCTTGGGAAACCCTGAGACCCATCATGCTGGGCAGGGTGCTATGGATGAGTTAGCATAATGGCACCAGGTACCTTGAAGCCCAGACTGGAATTCATCCTGGAAGCTCCGTTCAAAATAAAATAAAAAAGACATCAGATCTCCTTATGGTGATGCCCTCCAGAAGCCACAGAGGACAGATTCCATCATGTGGCTGGGGATGATGGAGGCTGTATTCCGGTACATCCGGAGGGTATCAGCTTGGAGAAGCTGGTGTTTAAATCCTTCTTGGACGATCTCTTCTTTTCCAGCCTGATTCCACGGGAGTGTTTTTGGGAAAGGTCCCTTATTCCAGGGTCCCCGTTGCTTATACATGTACGCTCTCTATCCGGCAAAGCCTGGTTTGCAACATTTATTTCAACAGGGAACCAAAAAGTGTGGGGAGGCGCGATCTATCCTGGCAAGTGAAAGAAATACGTCTCCCTGGAGGCAAAGCAGCAATGACTTCCTAGTCAAGGTGGCATTTCTTAGGTTGCTTGTGGATCACCAGTGAGTTCTCAGGTGGTCCGGCAGACTGGAAGGAGCTCAAGTCCCTGAGCTCTCCAGCGTGGCATCAGCCTCTTCCACAATGCAAGGAGACAACAGGAATCAAAGAGGAGAACACAACAAAAGGTCAGCACTGGCTCCTTCTACACTCCAGCACAAGGATACTACACGCACAAGTGCAAAGTAGCTGAAATACTGCCTGGTCTGCAATGACAGGCAATGAAATCAAAGGCATTTGATATATTTGGGGTGGGCAGAAAATTGGAAGAGTGCTCTTTCAGTTCTGACCCAACTAGGGGCTCCTGTGCTAACCTCTCCACCCAAAATGTCCTTGGACGGGAGTCTTTGGGCAAGAATCCTCCCTGACAGCCTAGCTTTCTGCATGCAGATCACACGAGTGCCCCAAAACAAAAACGGTGGAATGCTCAGCTCTGCAGGCTGCGGTCCAAATTGGCACAGCGCGGAGGCAGGACGCCGGCTCGGTCCTTGGTTGGTTTGGGACTCAGCCACCTCCCTTACTCAACTCGCCCGCCCAGTTCCATCCAGGTCATCCCAGGTGATCAGACTATCATGAGTCACCAGCGGCTGATCCAATTTGTCTGCTTGGAAAACACACACACAGAGAAAGAGAGACACACAAACACACACACACACCACTCAGCCACCTCATCTCCCCACGGCCAGCGAGGGATGCTCACTGGGGTGGAAATCCACTCCCCCCCCCGACACATCCTGAGACGCTAAGTGAGGATGAAGGAACATTATTGAAAAAAAAAGGGTTGAGAGAACATCCTGAGGGTGCTGGGAGCCAACAAGCCAGTGCAGGCCCATGTTGTTTTTACTCCTTTTGCCGGCATTCGGTGAAAGAGACCAGATGGGGTAAAACTGGTGACGAGGGTTTGTGATGGTGACTGTTATTTGGACCATAATCCCCCCCGAATATCCCCTTCTGGAACAGCCATTCCCTCTGTCAACACTGGACTGTGCCCCGCAGCAGTAGGTTGAGTTAAAGCAGACCTGCTACGTAGGGGATGATGGGAACCGTAGTCTACAAAACCCCCCCCCAGAATACCCCCTTCTGGAACAGCCGTTCCCTTTGTCAACACTGGACTGTGCCCCACAACAGTAGGTTGAGTTAAAGCAGATCTTCTACGGAGGGGATGATGGGAACCGTAGTCTACAAAGGGCACCTTCTCAAACTCTACTAATTATTGGCCACCCCTTGTGTATTAGGTCCTGCAGCTGGAGATCTGAGACACCTCCTTTTTTGGCGTGCTTTTCAGCCATTCCCTTGAGGCCCGGTGTGGGTCTTGGAGCACTCTTCTAAGGTCAAGGATTTTCACATCTATTTTTTAATGTTGTTGTTCTGTCTGCAAGCTGGGAGAGGCTTCCCACAAGACTGCAGTCTTCCAATCATCACCTCCTAGGACAGACAAAGTGCACCCTTCGGGCCACATGTGGCCCAATGAGCAATTCTGCCTGCGGTGCATCTCTCCCATTCTCCCCCCACCCCTTGATGGGAGACAGAATGGCCCATTACACCCCTGGGTGGCTTCCACCAACATGATTGTCAATTTTAGGAAGATCGCCATTCTCCTGTTCTCTTGACAGTTGTCTACCTCTCACTTGGAGCCAGTCCTGGTTTCTTTAAAGGTGGAAGAGCTACTTCTGGTTTGCACCTCTTCACATTGGACATGGGAAGTTTTGGATGTAATAAGCATTTAAAAAAAAGGTCTATAGACAGACAAGTAGCAGCTCAGTGAAGAGGCTAGACTAGATCTTCACCTTCCTGAGAAACTAGCTTTCTAAGTGCACTCCATTCTGGCAGAGAACAACTTCCAGCCACCTGTAAAAATATGATATGGTACAGCCTTCTCCAAAATGTTGGGAACTTTGGTGTGCTCTGAGGCTCCACCAGTTTCCACAGGACCTGGAAGCAAGGATGTTGTGCTCTTGCCCAAAGAGGGCTGAGCCCTGACCGGTCTGCTTCCCATCTCTTGCCGTAATTGTTCTGCCTTGAGCTGCAGGCAAGCCAGAAGAGCTCCAGGGATTACGCCAAGCCTTGTGTGACACTTACAGCTTCCATTGGTACAGGGTTGCTGGCGGGTTTGCATCCGCGATACACGTCAGTTTCACATCTTTCCGGTTGAGGTACCAGTTGCCGTCAAAGCCTTCGATGCGAACTTCGGGCTCATCTGTGAGAGGAGGGAGAAGATGGAGAGGGCCCCAGGCAAGCGGGGGAAGAAGCAGGGGCCAAAGGGAGCAAGGGGAGCAGAGGGCATGGAGGGATGGGAAAGCCAGAACGGAAAAGGAAGGGAAGCAAAAGGAGAGGGAGGGAAGGAGGAGGAAGGTTCAAAGACAGGAGAGAGGAGAGGAGAAATGGTGCAGACAAAGGGCAAAGGAGAAGAACTGGTTAATATTCACTCTCTGGATCATCTTGAGCAAGCAGGTAATCCTAGAACTCGGAAAAAGTGACTTTGTTTGAGCGTGGAAATCAACCAGCCAGCATCAATGTTGTGGCCTGGTTAATTCTATAAAGACAAGTTCTGGAGCAAGAGCGCTAATCAATGCCCAAAGAAACACGGAGGTTGGTTGTCGCAACCCAGAAGAGCAAAAGAGATTCTTCTCTCCTTTTAGTGAGGTGTGTGTGTGTGAGGGAACCCTATCTTTCAAAAATGGATTCTGCTGTTCTAAGGTGCAAGAGAAAAGCTGCAAGCCCTCATTGACCTGGACCCAAATCTGAGGCATCCTTAGATCTCGACCACCTTGGCTGTGCCCCTCCAAGGTCCGCAGCCGCCCCACCTCTCCCACTTACACAGCACGTTGAGGGTCATGCTGTTGGTGAACCGGTCCAGCTGGTAGTTGACCACGCACATGAGCTGCTGCCGATGGGCCTCCCGGCTCGGCAAGAGGCGGTACCGGCTGATCACCGTGATGGTGCCGTTGGAGTTGCGGATTTCTTGGAACTCCGCCTCCCCTTTCAGCTTGGTGTCCCAAGTCACGGTGCTGGGTGGCTTCCCGTTGGAGGAGGTGCAGGTGGCGACCAAGATCTTCTCCGTCATGCCAGCCCTGGCGATGATGGCTTTCTTGGTGCTGTCCATCCGGTTCGTCGGTTTGGCTAAACGAAGGGAAACAGACAAGATAGGAGGAAAAAGAAGGAAGAACTAGGATGTTATCAAAAAAAGAAGCATGGGTCCAACCTAGTGGCCAATGGCTAATTTCTCTTGAGTCCAGAAGTGGTACAGTCCCATAACCGCTTTACAGATTTGTGCCAAAATTCCATAGCTTCCCTGGTCATCTACACAACAAGACACCAGGACTATTTTCAATGGTTTGGAAAACACAGAACACAAGAGGCGGATCCCAACTCTTCTGTGGATCTCTTTGGAATTCTCCATGAAGAGAAAACAAGGTAGAAGGTCCTCCGTCATTTCTCCGCTCATCATCTGGTCATGTGCAAGCAGTGCAACGTGGTCCCCTCAAGTGGGGGACACCGGTCGGTTTCTCTACCCATTGCTCCCTCAGCTTCCAATCATTAAGATGCCCCTCTTAAAGCTTGTGAAAGCTGAGTTTGATTTTAAATTTGTAGCTCTGCTAAGCTGGGGGGGGGGGGTCCCTTCTGTGTTCCCCACAAGTCCTTCTGATGTTATACTCAGGTGACTGCCAGCCAAAACCAAGGCCCCAAACCTTCTCATCTTTAGGACAGACAATTCTTGTACTAGAGGGGAGCGACAGGCAATGGAAGACTTGAAGCAGGGCTCAAATTCAGACCCACGTGTTTCTCGAAACTCCGGCTGCACAGAAAGCCAAAGGGATACTTGGGCAATTCTCTCCCATTCCAAACCTTGTCGAGACAACACAATGGAAAAAAAAAACCAAGGTAGAATCCTGTCTACCTTCCCTCCATAATTTGGCAAAGCATCACAGACACCGGAGCGCTTGCTGCTGGCCCATCTCGTACCTCTAAGAGTTGCAACAGGGAAAAGAAACACCAAGGAGAGGATCAGAGAAAAACTTCCCATGCAAATTTCTGCACCTGGACATGATCCCTGTTCATAGATGGCTTTTCCACTGGAAAAGGCTCAAAGCCACCTTTGACTTAGCTCAAGCCCAGCATTTGACACAGGCTGAACCTCTGTCTGTGTTTTCTTTCCTTCTGCGAAGGAACAATGCAGATGGCATTTACCCCACTCTGCAGTGGAGGCTCAGCCCTTGCCTCTCATACGGCTGCTGTTTCCTTTCTTCTACGGCTCTCATTTCCTTCCACAGCTCTTGTTTCCTTCCACAGGAGTTGCACAAGAAATGTTCCCCCTGAATTCTGACCTCTGGGCAAGAAGGAAGGGAAGGGCTGGGCCAACTTGCAAATGCTGGCAAGAAAAAATGCAAGCCCTTTGTTGAAAGCAAAGGAGGATGTTGGGTAAATGCAGGCCGCATGACCAAGAATCCTCTCTGATTAGGTTCTTGTTGACATTCTGCAGGTAGAGATGGTCTGTACCAAAAAAAGTAATGGGCGGGGGGTTCCAAAATATTCTCTAAAAGATGTATGTCCTTTCCCCAATGGTCACCTTTTCCACACAGTCCCTCCAACACACGCTTGTGAGTCTGCGCACCTTCTTTGGCACAATTCTCCTCCTTGGTTGCATAAACCTGAAGATCACGGTTCTTAAATCCGATTCCAAAATATTCTCTAAAAGATGTATGTTCTTTCCCCAATTGTCTCCTTTCCCACACAGTCCCTCCAACACACGCTTGTGCATCCGCTCAGCTTCTCTGGCACTGTGTTTTGGAAGAAGACAATTCTCCTTCTTGGTTGCATAAACCTGAAGATCATAGTTCTTAAATCCAGCTTGATGATGTCACAGCACTGCATAGCCAATGAGATGTAGCTCTGTGGCGATCTCACAAAGCCAAATCAGAGGGAGGGCAACTTTTTCTTTTACCGTCCCTCTGAATGTGCTGACGGCACTGCTGTTTCTCAGACTTCAAAACTGTTATCAAAATGACATGTGGGCGCATGTGTCTGTCTGTCTGTGTGTTTCACAGGGAACAACCGCATTTGCATAATGCGTCTCTTAGTTTTGGCTAAGGTTCATACAATGCATCAGGGAAGCCCGCAAGGATTTTGCCTAGGAGCCTTAGGGAGCAGATCACTGTTTGCAGAGGTGGGGCAGAGAGATTTCAAGAACAGACAAGCCAGATTCCTTAGAAATATAATGGACTCAATGAGAAAACAAAACAGCCCCCTCATTGTTTCCTCCATACTTCAGCTTCACGAAACATAAGTCTTCTTTCTCAATTACCATGCACAGCCTTAATCTACAAATTTATATTTTAAAAACCCCTGCCAAATAGCACACTTTTCTTTGCTGAGTCATTATGTAATCTCCTTTATGATATGGACAATAAATAATCATGTGTCATCAAGCCAATTCTGACTAATGGTGACCCTTTTCAGGGTTTTCCAGGTAGAGTACTCAGAAATGCATTACCATTCTCTTCCTCTAGGGGCACCCTGGGACTCCTGCACAGCTGGCCCAAGGCCACCCAGGCTGGCTCTTCTCCCAAAGAAACCCAGTGCGGGAATCGAACTCCCAAAGTTTGGCTCCTCAGCCAGATGGCCTTAAAGCAGCAAAAATATATGATAAACTATAGCATATTTTTTTTTGCCCTCATGGGGAAAAAAGAGGAAGCTTCCTCTATAGCTTCAAAATCTCCATATGTATTAGTTCTCTAGACCAGTAGTTCCCAACCTTGGGTAATCCAGATGTTCTTGGATTGCAACTCCTGGAAATCCTGGCCAGCACAGCAAGTGGTGGAGACTTCTGGGAACTGCAGTCCAAGAACATCTGAGGATCCCTGTTTGAGAGCCATTGCACTAAACCATGGTTTATGGTTTGTTACTTTAGTCATGATTTGTCTCACAAATATGTGCATCCTTATGCAGGCTCTTGGGTTAGGATGGCAAATTATGAAAACAAGCCAGAGATAAGCTGCCATTCAGATATAAGGACAACCCATGGTTTAATCAAGCCAAAATTCATAAGCCAACAACAAACTATGGCTTCTCATTGTGGTTTGCAGCCAGCTAACAAACCATTATTTCTGGGGATGGATTTGGACATACAAATAGATGACGGGCAGTGAAGACATTGGTCCACTGTGCAGGACTAGGGGCAACAGAGTGAGAAAGTACCGTATTTTTCACACCATAAGACGCACTTTTCCCCCACAAAACAGGGGGGGTGGAAAGTCTGTGCATCTTATGGAGCGAAGAAAACAAATTATATTTTCCTGTTTTCTTCTCCTAAAAAATTGGTGCGTCTTATGGAAAGGTGCGTCTTATGGAGTGAAAAATATGGTAACTTTTCTGTACTACAACTCTCAGAATAGCCCAGCCAGCATGGGAGTGACCATACTGGCTGAGCTCTTCTGGGAGCTCTAGTAAAAGAAAGCAACTCTGCTCATCTCTGTTTGGGTTCCTGGGCTCCCATGGAGGAGCCATGAAAGAGCTCAAGGTCAGGCTGATCCTTCAGGCTAGGGGACATCGGAAGGTCTTCCAGTAACCACTTACCTAACACGGTGAGGTTGAGCTGGTTCTCCCGGTTGCCAGTAGGGAATGTCGCAAACTCACAGATGTAAACACCTTCATCCTCCAGCTCGAGGCGTGACAGTTGTATGGTCCCATCTTTAGTGGAGGGTTCTCGGAAGGTCACCCTATTCTGGTAGGGGGGCAAGATGGAGACACCCATGTTGGGGTTGAAGATGGCCACGTTCTGCTTGGAGCCATTGGTGGCCTTCTGCCAGGTGACCTGTGTGATCTTCACATTGGGGGAAGGGTTGGTCATGCTGCAATGCAGGATTACATTGGTCCCGATGAAGCCGGAGACGGTGTCGTTGACCAGCACCATCTGAGCCCAAAGCCCTGAAACGGGAGGAGAAAGAAGAGGCGGAAATGAGTCAGATGGGGAGAGGAAACGGCCCCAGTGATTGGGAGAGATTCTGCCATGTCGGCAGGTCCAATTAATTCTCCCTGCTTGTAGCTTGAGAGGAACAGGTTCCCACAAGCCCATTAAAAATGATTCCTGACTCTATGGATAAATTGGAAATCAGAGAGACAAAGAGAGTCAGAGATAGAAAGAGATAGAAAGAGAGAGAGAGAGAGAGATTCAGAGAGAGACTACAGGAAATGATTTTCCTTTCCCAACAGGTAGATTTTTTAATTAAAAGCAATGTGTTAATTTCGCAGGTCTGCCAAGAAAGCCGACTGGAGGATAAAACAGCCCTGCAGACTGTTCTACAAAACCAGCAATCCACATTTCGACTGGCCCTCATTTCTATCTAACAATGAAGGGTGTGGGGTGGGAAAAGGGGAAGTTCTGTAAAATTACCCCACCTGGTTGCCCAAGGGATTCTTACTTAGGGGCCTCGTGGGACAGTGGTTAAACTGCAGTACTGCAGCCAAAATTCTGCTCACAATCCGGGTTCAATCCCAGGCTCGAGGTTCACTCAGCCTTCCATTCTTCCAAAGTCAGTAAACTGAGTCCCCAGCTCACTGGAGGGAGCCAACGCGTAGCCTGCATAGCTAAACTGTAAACCACCCAGAGTGTTTTACATGAAATTGTAAACCACCCAGAGAGTGTTTTACACACCATGGGGTGGTGTATAAGCCGAGCACTTTGCTTAGTCATCACAAGCTATCAGCAGGGGGACTGGACCGTTCTGGAGTAACAGCATGCCAGTATATTATTTATAGGCGGAGTCACACATGCATCCTTGCAGAGTGTTGACTACAGCACCTAGGGGAGACTTGCATGTGTGAATGAGCCAAGGTGGATATAGCATTACTCGCATGACGTTTGCATTAGGTGGCCACAAATCCAGTGGTTTTCCGTTGGTGCTTCTTGCACAGCTCACAGTTCCAGTCACCAGGCGCTGAGTTGGGAGCAATCTTGGGAAACTAAACAAGGAGCCAATTCCCACAAATTCAGTAACCAGTGCTCTTCTGATGCAAAGGTAATCCTACACATATGAATGTGCATATGAATTTGGGGGCCAATGCACACCATGCAGAATTTCCAATATAATGAACTAGTGAGCTGCAGTGCAGGGGTCAGGAGTTTGATTCCCCGCTGAGCATCCCAGGAGGCCAGCCAGCCTGCATAGCCTTGGGCATGGCGTACAGCCAGCCTATGTAGCCTTGGGTATGTTGCACAATCCCAGGGCATCCCCGGTGGAAGGAAATGGTAAAGCACCTCTTAGTACTCCATACCTAGAAAAACCTGGAAGGGGGTCACTACAAGTTGGAACCAACTTGATAGCATGTAATTATTACAATTATCACGAGCTAGCTAGCTGGGTTGTTTTGTTTTCTCTCTGGAATGTCAAACAGGAAGATGGGAGGAAGGAAAGAAAACGCAAATGATAAGTGGAAAAGATAAAAAAAATAGGTAAGACGGGAGGATGAGACAAATGTGTTTAACTTATACAATTTCTACAGGTTGCAGAATATCCATCTATGTTATACAGGGTGACATCCACTTTAAAATAACCTCATAACACATCCCGAGGCATATTTCTTAAGGAGGATGACTGGAACTTGTTTTCCCAGTGTGTTTCGGAGTGAAACGTCAGCTGATTAATAGTGCAGATTTTAAGTGATTATCTATTAACATGTGTGTGAGAGAGAAACTGGAATATAATTCAGGCAATCAGAATGCATTCTGGAAGGGCAGGGGGTGGGTGATTAAAGGGTGTCTGTACTGAACATCTGATTTATTTATATTTTAAATCACTAACATTATTCCATCTTAGGTGCTGCCTTTCCTGTCTACCAAGACAGAGAAAAGATAATCAACACTTTAATTCATCTCTTTTCCTTCCTTTCGCCTTTCTGCCGCTTCTGCGTCTCTCCCTAATCTGTGTGTTTAAAGATAACACTCCAATAATTATACAGCTGGTATTTATATTTGAAACAGAAAGGGACGAAAAGGGGGAGGACAGCCGGTTAAAGTGCAAGGGAGAACTGGAAGAACGAGTCCCCTCACAAAAGGAGAGGTGTGGGGAGATCTGAAAGAGCTAAGAAAGGAAGGAGGTGGAAAGCAAGGGGGGGAAACAGAGATGGTGACAAATCAGAAAAATTGTGGTTCGTGATTCGTGATGGTTCGTGGTTTGTGGCCACCCACGAATCATCACAAACTGTCTGAAAAATGCACCAGTTTGCAGTTCAGTTTTTGAGTTGGTGGGGGTGGGGGAACTGTTTGACTGATCACTTCCTTCCCACTGGCCCCGTTGCCTTCCTACCTGGTCTTGTGGCCATCACCGCACTGCCTCTTCCTCCGCTGATGTGTGTGTGCGGAGGCAGTAAGCCCGACTCCTGGAAGGGGAGCTGACCCCCTGTCTCTGAGGAGGGTGGTGGCAGCGGTGGCAGGATCAGGTAGAGAAAGCATGGGGACAATGGGAACAGAGCGTCCAGATATCCGTTTTGCCGAAGCAAAATTAAGTGCGGAGGGGGGAAAAAGTTTGCTTCGGCAAAATAGGATCTCCGAACTGGGCTGCGAAACGAACCATGAAACAGCCCGATTCATCGGTTTTTCTGGTTCGTGACCATCTCTAGAAATGAATAAACAGGAGAAGAGAGAGAAGGAGGGAGGGAGAGCAGGAGGAAGGACAGTAGCGAGAATGGGAGCAGGATATTAAAACGTGAGTGGAAGGGGGGAAAGTGTTGGGTTATACGAGGCCAGAAAAAATATCCCGCCTTATCACCCAAAACAACATTTTCCAAGTGTTTCGTGTTTTCAAGGCAACAATTCAGTGGAACACCTGCCCATGCCACCAAGCTGGCTGGAAGCCGTGGGTTGGCTGCAGACATCCTTGTAGGTGTGTGAACAAAACACGGGCAAGAGGACCTGGGCTTATGGGCAATGTTGCCCCATGCCTGCCATTGCAAAAGATGCCAGGGGAAGAGAGGGTGAAAGACGTGCCGCTCCGGGCAGTGGTAAAGGGAAAATGGTTTCCCACCTTACGTTATTTTGGGGATCGATGCCTGCAGACGACAACTGAAATTTTGTGGCTGTATCCTGCCAATGGTGCTAGTCTGTGTCCTTAAGATTAACTTTTCTAAGTTAACAGAGGAAATGAATTATATCATGCTGCTTCCTCTGGCCCAGGGAAATCTTGCCCAGCTACTTTTATTCTAGCCGTTAAGGTTCTAGCAGGTGCTGTTCATTTTCTTTCCTAAGCCTCAATTTATTTATTTATTTTTTTGCACAAAGCTAGGAACATCCCTTCCCCAGAAAAATCAATCAAACAAGCAAATTCTGACTGCAATCCACACAAGCTTGTACCAAGTAAAGCTGGCCAGTCTTTAAGGTGTGACAAGGTTCTTGAGTGTGTGTGTTTTCTCTCCAAATCATTGATAGACGGCCAGGATTAGCATGGAAGGGAAGTCACACCAAGACATCCAGAACTAATCTCTCTTTAACTGCCTATCGCCGGTGTTTTGCTTTGCGTACAGTCTTGGGCATGATGCATACAGGTGCCATCTCACCACCCCGGACACACTGGTCTTGTCCGATTTCAGAACCTAAGCAGAGACACGTCTGGTGAGTCCATAGATGGAAGACCACCAGGGACTTTAAAGGGTCTCCAGATAGGACTAGAGAGCACTCCATCGTGCAGCCCTGGAGAACCAAGGCTAGATGGATCAATGGCTTGATTCAGCTCCCTGTGTTCTTAGGAGTTTCCAGAAAAGAACAGAGCTCAGGAAAGTAACTTTTTTGGACTACTGCTCCCAGAATCTCCCACTCAGCACAGCCTTTCCTGTGCATACCCTCCAGCCTACGGCTCTTCCACTCATTCAGCCTCTCTGGGGAGCAAAGTTTTCGCCCCTGCATTGCCTACGCTTGTAAAAGATGGGTGAGCGCCTGCCAAGCCTCTTAGCTCGGAACCGTTTACGGCTTCTCGGAGCATGTGGCTGCTTGTTGACGAGCAAGAATCATCACGTAGGAGGAGGCCTGGGAACAGCCTCCTTGCCTCGAACGTCTCCTCGTTCTCCCAGGCCTTTGGGAAGAAGGGTGTTCGGGGGCCCTCGTTCTCCACCCTTTTCTTGAAGCCCAGCCAAGAAGACAAAGTGACTCAACCTCCTGTTCAAAAGCATCATGGGGCGGCCCTTGACTCAAACAGGACCGGGTGCTTGAAATCTCAGGAAGCCACCTCCTTGTTGATGAAACCGACTCACCAAAAATATTCACATCTTTTCTTGGCCCCTAATCTTTTTAGTGGACCTTGCCTGTGGGCTTTCCGAGAAGCATTTTTGGCTTTGCCACTTTGAGAAACTGCCGGCCATCTGCATTTGCTGGATCAGAGTATGGCCCGTGTTTCTCCCAAGAGGCATATTCTGGGAATTTTCATCCAAAAAAAAAAAAAACCTTCCCTTGGCTCGGAGGTCAACCTCTTCTGATCCCATCTATGTGCTGCGGTTGCTTTGATATTTTAATGTTGTTGTTGCTTCTTAGAATCTGTGATCTTATTACGCTGGTTTACTGACTACCATAAACCACGTCGGCAGGGCAATTTATGCTGAAAGGTGTTCTGAAGAATCCATTAAATAAAGGGTGGGTGGATAGGGAGAGTAAATCCATGACAAAAAAGGAAAATAGTACAATCAAAAACAAGAAATGAGAGACAGAAACATCGAACAGAAGGAGCCAAATAGAAGTTTTGTTAAAAAATGAAACCCTAATAATACAAATACTATTTATTTGTTTTGTATTTAAGTGCCCAAGAGGTTTCCCGTTCGCCCAGCTCTAATTAACCGAAAATCTGAGAGGAGCAAACAGGAGGAGCCTCAGAGCCCATAAGGGGGTAAAAAAAAATGAATTTTGTCTGTATCAAGGCAAGAGAACCTTTCCTTCCAGATGTGCG